TTTTTTTAGTCTTAGATTACAACTTCGCATTTAAATATGGACATTCTAATATTATGTAAAAGTGAAACTATAAAGTTAAAAATTTTCAACAAAATATTTTGAGGACTTGCTTTTAGACTTTGTTGTTAGAAGAAAGCCATAACTAATATTTTATGATTTCTTGATTCTTGGATTGGAGCTAGTTTGACAGTCACCATTGATCATTCACTTTATTCATTGTTTCATTTATTTATTTAACAAATTTTTTGTTTGCCTCATATGTGCCAATTCTATCTTGGGGAACACTCCTCCATAATTTTAGAGGGGAAACAAAAAATAATAGATGTGCATGTATATGACTTCATTGGAGTTGGGAGGTAGAAAGAAGTGATGCAATTCCTGTTCGGAGTTTCATTTTGTAAAGTAGTAGGTAAAGTCATCATAGTTCACCACTCGTGATGGTTTTTCTGGGAAAAATTCCTTGAATTGAATAAAACTAAAGGGGTCTCTGTAGATGTGAATCAACATTTCTTGAGTACCTAGTGGACAACAAAGTAGACACTGAGAAAGAATATAAATGAGACCCTGGCCCTCAGAGCTTTGCTTTTTTTTTTTTTTTTTTTTAAGAAAATATGGCATATTCCAAAAAGTAAATAATAACATAAGGCAGCTGTGATATAGCAAAGAATATATGGTACTTATACAGTACTACAGGAATTCAAAAAATGAGACTACTAATGACTAGAGGCTTTTTTTTTTTTTTTTTTTAATCTTTCTCCTTTGCTTCATATTATGATAGGGCCAGGTGATCTTTTCAGAATGACCCCTTTTGAAATACTTTCCAGCACTGTACTTTATTCTTAGAACAGTCAGTGGTTAATTTATTATGAGAACTATATAGAAATTTAGCACAAATTCTTTACCTCAGCACAAATAACAGTTCTTTTAGAACTGAGCTTTGGGGGGAAGAAGAAAACAACTACAAAAAGAATTGAGCCTTGAATGCTTTAGAACAAGACAGTGTTTCGAGATGGAAAGTTGAGGTTACCATGGCATTACACAATTCAAATTATGTAGCTTCGTGCATTTGTTTGGTGTGAACTTCAGAGTGTAGCTGAATTAACCAACACCTTTTCTTTCTGTTAGTACCTCTGAATTCCTTACTTTTCAGCCTTTAATATTTGCAGTGTTGACAGTGAGAAGGAAAGGATTCCAGGGTGGGATGGGTGGATGAGTTAGGTATCTATAATAATAAGATCTATAGATTTGGGGGATTTTGTTTGTTTTTTAGAGAGAAGGTGCCAGTGGGGAAGGGGGGGGACAGAGGGAGAGGAAGCGTGTGCGCGCCTCAAGAACGCTCTACGCTTAGCACAGAGCCCAGTGCAGGGCTCAATTCCCATGATCCAGGGATCATGACCTGAGCTGAAATCGGGAGTTGGGCACTCAACCAACTGAGCCACCTAGGTGCCCCAAGATCTATAGATTTTAAACAGGAATAAGAGTGGGGTGAGAGAGAAGGTTGTATAGGATGAAAAGGTTTGGGAATGTACTTTTTTGAGTGTTGTAGAAACTGATTGCTAGCAGCGTTATAAACCAGGCTGATAGAGATATCATCCCCAAATGCATACATACCACAAACATAAAAAAATCTAACACAGGACAAGGACAGAAGTGTAAATGCATTAGCTAAAGCTCTAAAGAAGGAAAGAAGAAAAGGAAGCCAGAAATGAGAGAAGTCAAATCAAAGCAGTAAGTAGAAGTAGGTGCTGCTATATAAAGTAGCACAGGGACCTTTTGATTCTGGACTATGTGCCCTAAGGGATCTGGGGTGGAATTTTAGTGCGTATATGGGCATGGGAGATATGTGGTCTTAGGCCTTTCCAAAATAGAACTAGCATTAAGACCTAGGCATATGGCCTAGAACCTGAAACAACTTGAGTAATTGTACAGAAATTTTTAAAAGTGACCAGTGATAAAACAATCTTTTTTTTTTTTAATGTTCGTTTATCTTAGCCTGAGTGAGGAAGAAGGGGAAGAGAGAGAGGGAGACAGAGGATCTGAAGTGGGCTCTGCACTGTCAGCAGTGAGCCCAGTGTGGGGCTTGAACCCATGAACCACTAGATCATGACTTGAGCTAAAGTCGGACACTCAGCTGACCGAGCCACCCAGGCGCACCCCCCCTTTGTATTTTGTAATGACCACAAAACAGTCTATTGTATAGCTGTACCAAAGTTTATTTAACAGTTACTTATGAACATTTTGATTGTTATCCTGCAGTATTACAAACAGCACTGCAGTAAATATCTTGGTACATACTACTTAGCCCACATGGGTGAATATAGTTGTAGAATCAGTTCCCAGAAATGGAATTGCTTGGTAGTAATAGCTGTTGCCAAGTTGCTCTCCTTAAAGCAATTAGGATTTTTTTCCCCTCATTTTATCCTTTATTGATACTAGTATTTGATTGTGCTTTTTGATATTTGATAATTTGCTACATAAAAAATCTCACTGTCAGGTCACCTGGGTGGCTCAATGGGTTAAGCATCCAGCTCTTGATTTAGGTCACGTCATGATTTTATGGTTCATAAGATCGAGCCCCATGATTCTTGGGATATTCTCTCTCTCTCTCTCTCTCTCATCTGCATGCTCTTTCAAAATATATAAATATATTTTTTTAATCTCATTGTCATTTTTATTAGCATTTAAACTTAATTCTGATTTGTCTATTCATGTCCTTGCCCTAATTTTCTATTTCTTTTCCATATTGATTTGTAGACATGCAGATAAAGTAAGGAAATTACCCTTCTGTGACATATATTGTAAATATTTTTTCCGAATAGGTTGCTCCTTTGATTATGTTTATAGTATTCATTTTCCAAGCAGAATTTGAAAACTTTTTATATATTATGCAAATTGATTCGCATTTTGAAAAAACAATATATTTATTGGGAAGGCGGGGAGAGAGAGAGAATGAGAACAAGTAGGGGAAGGGCAGAGAGAGAGAGGGACGCAGAATCTGAAGCAGGCTCCAGGCTGTGAGCTGACAAGCAGTGAAGCCCATTGCGGGGCTTGAACTCATGAGGGGTGAGATCATGACCAGAGCTACAGTTGGACACTCAACTGACTGAGCCAGCTAGGTGAACCTAGTAGCTTTTTTTTTTTTTTAAGTTAAAAGTACAGTATGAGGAAGGTTTTTTCCCTCTGAATCCCCACAAAAGTTGCCAGCTTGTTATCCTGCCACCTCCTAATAATGCTTCAGTGTATTTCCTACAAACAAGGATATTCTCCTAAATCATTATATTACAGCTGTTAAAATCCGAAAGTTAACATTGATCCATTACTGCCTTCTAATCTTTTGACTCCCATTCAAGTTGCACTAATTGTCATAATGGCAAATTTTTAGCGAAAGGATCCAGTTCAGAACCATATTAGTTGCTGTATCTCTTCCATATTCTTCAACCTGGAACAGTTCCATTAGACTTTGCTTGACTTTCATGACTTTGACAATTTTGAAGATTATACAAAACAGAACAAATCTGGGCTTGTTTGAGGTTTCTTCACATTAAACTTAGGTTATGTATCTTTATCATAGAAGTTGTGATCCTGTTGTATGCTCTCGGGTGGCACAGAGTTTCAGTTTGTCCTATTGATTATATTCACTTTGATCACTTGATTAAGGCAATGTCTGATGGGCATCTCTGCTATCGAGTTACTATTTTTCCCTTTCTACTTAATAAGTATGGGGGGGCACCTCAAACGTGCCATTCCATATCAAACTTTAAAGTTTACTATTTATCTCTAACTATGAATTTATAGGTTGCTTTCTATTCATTAGATTATAACCTTTACTATCATTATGAATTTGATGTTCCATTATAATTTTACTAGTGAGTGATCACTTAAGCTGATCTCTGTGTCATTTTTGATACGTCCTCATCATTCTTTGAGCATTTTCTTCTTTCTGCTACAAGATATTCCAGGCTCATTTTATAATTTCCACCAGCCTAAAATCAACCATTTCTCCAAGGAGCCCTTATCCTTTTTATAAAAAATGTTATTCAGAAGCCAAGATCTAGATGCTAGTCATACTCATTGGTACTGGAGTATCACTGCTTCTAGGCTCTGTCAGTGGACAGAGCTAGGAAATATATGCAGGTACATTTACCTACATCTAAACATTTACATGTGTATTTAAGTATTAAATACCATGAATTCACATTGATACCTCTAATTCCAGTCTTAACACCAAAGGACTTATTCTAGTTTTCTTTTTATAATTTAACTCTCTTCTTTGACAGAAACCTGGCTTTCATTATTCTATTTACTTATTCTATTTAATTAATTATTCCACCATCCCTTCTCCTGTATGCCCTTCTCTCCTTGCTTTTGCTGTGACTCTCCATTTCAGGCCACCCCCTCTCCCCACACCAGCTTCCTTCTTACCCCTCTTGAGCTCCAGCACCCTATGCCAGACCACCGTCTGCAAAATGTTGTTTTCATCCTACTTGATATCTGATACCTACACTTAGCTGTCCCTCTCCATAGATACCCTGCTCATCCCACTTTGATTCTGATACCTCTTGCCAAGCTACTCTCCTCACCTACTTGGGCTATAACCATGTAGTAGTAAGTCTTCCCACCTCATCAAGTGAACATGCTCCTCACTTTTTTTTAATGCCTTCCAAATTTTGTGTTCTACTTCTCCACTTTAGCATTATAAAAAATAATTACCTTTGTTTTCCTTTAGTGATTCAGTTTTTTTGTGCTTGAATATATGCTCTATTTTGGAATTTGTTTTGAAGAAATGAACTAGAAGTCTAACATTTCTTTCAGATGTTTATCCAGTTGGCTGGAATTTTATATAAAAGTTGTACCTGCCCCTTCTCCCCCTATCAAATTTATGAAGCTTCTTAAAAATATACTGCATCCATAGTATAAAGCATCCTTAAAAATATAAAGCATCCATACTGCTTTTTTTAAAAAACGGGTGTCATTTTTCATACTGCTTTTGTTTATAACAGATGATGATGTACCTGCAGATATGGTTGCTGAAGAATCAGGTCCTGGTGCACAAAATAGTCCATACCAACTTCGTAGAAAAACTCTTTTGCCAAAAAGAACAGCGTGTCCTACAAAGAGCAGTATGGAGGTAACTGCTTTTCTTTTTGTAATGAAAGAATTGCTAAGAAACAAAAAAGGGAAATGCTGCCATTTTTTAGAAGTAATGATTATGTATGGTAAAAATATTTGCTTAATTAGTTTTCATTTTGTTTTTGAAGGGTGCCTCAACTTCAACGACAGAAAATTTTGGCCATCGTGCAAAACGTGCAAGAGTATCTGGAAAATCACAAGATCTATCTGGTATTTCCTTTGGGAAAACTAAGGGACAGAGTTAAATCTTTTAATTTTGTTTGATACCAAAAATTAAAATTTTATTATATATAGGTTAATGGTATATTGGGGATTGAGAAGGTGATATTATAGAATAAACATGAGAAACTGATCTCACTCTTTTGACTTTAATTGTTTAACCAGTTTCTGAAATGGTGCATAAAGCTAAAAGAAAGAATACTTAAGTTAGGACAAAAGATAGCAAACGTGTGTATTATCTATGAAAGCAAAATGTGTATAAAATGATTGTTATCAAAAATAAAAGCTGTTCATAAGATAAAATGAAAATAATGCTTCTTAAATAGTGAGAAAGTTGTCACTAGCACAATAAATAGATTGTTTATATTCTGTTTGTTAATCTCTTTTTAGCAGCACCTGCTGAACAGTATCTTCAGGAGAAACTGCCAGATGAAGTGGTTCTAAAAATCTTCTCTTACTTGCTGGAACAGGATCTTTGTAGAGCAGCTTGTGTGTGTAAACGCTTCAGTGAGCTTGCTAATGATCCAATTTTATGGTAAGTGGAAATTTATTTCTTATCATCTTGAGATATATATATATTATTTACTGCCCCAAACACTAAAGATGGTAGGGAAGTTGAAGTGTGAGTTGGTAGTTAAAATTAAACAGTTGGAACAAAATTAGAAAGCTTATAAATTCCACGTTACCTGTTTATCACAAACGTAGGTTGTTGGTCCAAGCAGTATTTATAAACAAGAAAGGAAGTACTTTCTCTGCTATTTATTACTTAATAGCAACTGAGTGATTATGGTAAATGTTCATTTAAATTTAAGCTTTTTACAGAGGACCATGGGGGAGAAGAAGGGGAAAAATAGTGGGGGAGAGGGAGGGAGGCAAACCATGAGAGACTCTTGAATGCCAAGAACAAAATGAGGGCAGATGGGATAGGGGAGGAGAAGAAGGGGGGTGATGGGCAGGGAGGAGGGCATTTGTGAGGATGAGCACTCGGTGTTATATGGAAACCAACTTGACAATAAACTATTTAAAAAAAAAAAAAAGAAATTTAAGCCTTTTAGAAACAGAGCTATGTCTAATTTCAAATAGGTAATTTTTTAAGAAAAAACAGGTGATTCAAACTGATAGTTTAATGAGAGTGTAGATTTTGTTACATCGCTTTTGGAAAACTGTGTTACATCACTGATTTTGATGGTTGTATTTATCAGCCTTTATGCAAGCCCTTTGACCAATGTAATTCACTTCCGGAAATTTTTTCCTTATGTACAAATTTTTCATAATGGCTCAGTTATAGGGAAAATTAGAAATAACCTCATAAATGTCTAGAAGTAAGGATTGGACTAACAATGTGATGTCTACTTGGAGGATGATATAGGCAGTTAATAGTGATTTTTACAAGAGTTGCTAATAACATGGTAAAATGCTGTTATGTTCTAAAAATTTTTTGAGAAGAGCAGAATACAGAATTTTATATACTATATAATCACAACTGTAATAAATGAAACTATCTGTAGATAAAAAGGCTGAAATACTGCTTTTTATAGGAAGTGGTAATAGTTACTATCAGTACATTTCTGAGATTTGATGGATCCTGATAATAGCATATAAAGATATACAAAGAGTTAATAAGTTCAGAGTATTTTACTGAAAGCCATGCTTTAATTATTTTTTTCAAAGTTTGTTTATTTTGAGAGACCGTGCACGTGTGTGAGCAGGGGAGGGACAGAAACAGGGAAAGAGAATCCCAAGCAGGCCCCACATCAGCGGCCTCACAATGCCATACTTGATCTCACAAATCATGAGATCATGATCTGAGTCGAAACCAAGAGTTGGGTGCTTAACTGACTGAGCCCCCAGGCAACCCGAAAGCCATCTTTTTAAATAATAACTGTATGAGCCATTTATGGTAAGTGTGGCCTTTTATCCCCTAAGCAAATTTTGAAGAATTGACCCTTTTTTATTTGAGGAGGTGGACTATATTCTGTATGTAGTTATAAATTTAAAAAAAAATTTTTTTAATGTTTGTTTATTTTTGAGAGAGAGAGAGAGACAGCGTACAAGTGGTGGAGGGAGCAGAGAGAGAGAAAGACACAAAATCCTTAGCAGGCTCCAGGCTCTAAGCTGTCAGCATAGAGCCCAACACTGGGCTCAAACTTGACTGTGAGATCAGGATCTGAGCTGAAGCCAGATGCTCAGCTGAGTTAGCCACCCAGGCACCCCTATATGTAGTTATATTATTTTAGCCAAAAACCATTTACATTTAAAATTTTGGTTTTTTATATTCTTAAGTGTTTTAAAGCATCAGATAGTTTTTAAAGTTGTTTTAAAGGACATTTTATGAAGAAATCTTTCATTCCTCTCCTCCTCCAGGAAACGATTATACATGGAAGTTTTCGAATATACTCGCCCTATGATGCATCCTGAACCTGGCAAATTCTACCAGATTAATCCAGAAGAATATGAACATCCAAATCCTTGGAAAGAGAGTTTCCAGCAGTTGGTATGAAGTATAAATGGAAAATATTGATTTATACTGTATATTTGTAACCAGAAGTTTCTTTTTAAAAAACTAAACTCAAGAATAGGTTCTAAGCCAATGAATATTTATCAGTCAACAGAATGTTCAGTAATTCTTTTCACTGCTGATATATTTATTAATAATTTAAACAGTGGCAGTAAGCATCAGTAGCCTAAGAGCAGTTAAACTTTATATGGATCTCTCTGAACCTTTTCTTAAATTATTGATGGTTGAGAGTTGTCTTAAAGTTTCACATTTACCTTAATTTTCGTGTGGTCCTCTATGAGTGGTTCTCAGCTGGGGGTGGTTTTGCTCCACAGGGGACATTTGGCAGTGTTTGGAGACCTTTTTGGTTGTCACAAGTGGAGAAGAGGATTCTACTGGTATCTAGTCAGTAGAGGCCAGGGGTGCTGCTAAACATTTTAACAGAGATGCACAGGACAACCCCCACAACAAAGAATTTTCTGTCCCAAAATATCAGTAGTGCTGAGATTAACAAACTTTGTCCTTACTGGATATTACTGAGTCGTAAGCTGTTCAGATTTTACATTGCAGTATGCAACAGAAAATTAATCAGAATAATTAAAAACTTTTTTCTGTTTAATAAAAATATACAATACTTTAGAATTGTAATGTTTATATTAGTAGTCATTGTTTCTGGTTATTTTTGTTTTGTTTTGTTTTGTTTTTTGACATTTTAGTATAAAGGTGCACATGTAAAGCCAGGATTTGCCGAACATTTCTACAGTAATCCTGCAAGATATAAAGGAAGAGAAAATATGTTGGTATGTTTGATTTGTATTTTTATAAGACTTAAGATGGTAATCTTTCAGTTCTGTACTGACACTTATTTTTTTTTTGTAGTATTATGATACAATTGAAGATGCCCTTGGTGGGGTACAAGAAGCTCATTTTGATGGACTTATCTTTGTTCATTCTGGAATATACACTGATGAGTGGATATATATTGAATCGCCAATCACCATGATTGGTGCAGGTATTTTGAAATGCATGGTCATTAGAAATTTAATATATTATTTACATAATAGGTTTTTTTGCTTTGTTTTTTAAGCACTAATGACTTAAAATCCAGGTGAACCTTGGTAATACCTTAATGGTAAGAAAGAACAGGAATATTGCATATGACAGAAATGAAATCATAAAAGTTCAAACATTATAGATGAATCTTTTTTTTTTAGATGTATATATTAATGTTTATACCTTGTCCAACTGTCTTATTTGTTATTCGTTAGGAAAAGAAAAATACAGGGCGCCTGGGTGGCTTAGTCGGTTAAGCGTCCAACTTTCGCTTAGGTCACGATCTCGCGGTTGTGGGTTCAAGCCCCGCGTCGGGCTCTGTGCTGACTGCCAGCTCGGAGCCTGGAGCCTGTTTCAGTCTGTGACTCCCTCTCTCTCTGACCCTCCCCTGCTCACGCTGTCTCTCTCTCTCTCTCTCTCTCTCTCTCCTAGAAATAAATAAAAAAAAATATATTAAAAAAAAAAAAGTTTAAAAAAAAAGAAAAGAAAAATACTTGTTTGTGTCTTTTATTTGAAAATAAAGATGGTTAATGTTTTTATTTCTGTTTTGTTAATGAAACCGATTTCCTTTGTAAATTTTTTTGTGTGCTGTTTTTATAGTCAAGTTTCTAAAGATTGGTGTAATGAAATAGTTGTTGAACACTGATCAGTCATTTTCAAGATTTCTGCTGCTTTTTTTAAGGACACTGTACCTGGCCCATTTAAAGATAGCTAGCATTTATTACTTGTAACTGAAATTTGCATTTACTGCCAATAGAGACTAGTGGGGGAGGGCATAGAAAATTTTGCCTAGTGACTTGCAGTACTTTCCAAATCAAGGCCAGAACTGGAAATAAGTTTAAATTAGAAGGATTCTCTCCTTCTCTTCCTACTCATCATCCCCTTCTTTCTTCTCCCTAAGCTTCTTTTTCTGGTGCTGCCAGAGGCGATTTTATTTCCACAAGAAACCATTTTTTAATATGTCATTTATTTGATGCTAAACACTATTAGTAGTTAAATATTATTAGAAATATTATTATATATGAATTTGAGTATAATACTCAAATAATATTCACATTAAATATGACTGCATATAGTAAAGGCCAGTGAAACATAGTTAACTGATAAAGTGAATATTCTTATCTACTCAATACTAATGTTTTTTTAAAACTTCCCCCTTCATATTATGCTAAGTGAAAGTAGGTTAGAGAAAGACAAATGCCAAGTGATGTCATTCATATATGGAATCTAAAAAACAAAACAAGTAACAACAAAAAAGAAACAGACTCATAAATACAGAGAACATATAGGTGGTTTATAGAGGGGAGGTGAGTGGACAGACGAAAAAGGGGAATGAGATTAAGAGGTACAAACTTCCCGTTATAAAATAAATGTCACAGGTTGAAAAGTATAGCTTAGGGAATATAATCAGTAATATTATAATAAGTTTGTATGGTGGCAGAGTAATTAATTACACTTCCATAGTGAGCATTTTGGAATGTATATAATTGTCAAGTCACTATATTGTACACCTGAAATTAATATGTCAGCTATACTTCCATTAAAATTTTTCTTAAAAAATGAAAAAAAATCCCCCTCCAAATAAAGTACCCAACTTAGAACAATAAAAAGGATTTTTATTACTAGTTTTATGGCAGAATATTTTTACTAAGAAATTTTTATTTCAATTTCATCTGATAAATCATGTGCTTTAAAAAAATAAAGGTAATGTGTTTTAAAATATCTTCTCCACAGCACCTGGAAAAGTAGCAGACAAAGTTATAATTGAAAACACTAGAGATTCAACCTTCGTCTTTATGGAAGGTTCTGAGGATGCTTATGTTGGATATATGACAATAAGGGTAAGGAATTTAAGATTTAGAATATGTATGTTGAAATCATTTAAGGCAGTGGTTGTCTGTTTCAAGTGAAATTTCTCCTTTTCAGTTTAACCCTGATGACAAATCTGCTCAACACCATAATGCACACCACTGCTTAGAGATTACAGTAAATTGTAGCCCTATTATTGATCACTGTATCATCCGAAGTACATGTACAGGTTAGTGTTAACATTATGTTGTATTATAAAATAAATCATTGGGTGCCATGGTGGCTCAGGCAGTTGAGTGTCCAGCTCTTGATTTTGGCTCATAGACCCCAAGGCTGTGGGATCCAGCTCCTCATCTGGCTCATCACTGATCATAGAACCTGTCTTGGATTCTCTTTCTCTCCCTCTGCTCCTCTCCCCTGGCCTTCCTCGCTCGCTCTCTCTTTAAAAAAAAAAAAAAAGAGGAGAGAGAAAAGAAAGAAAAGAGAGTCATTGTATCGTTGTCCAGTAGGTTTTTAAATAAATGTTTCTTTTTACAGTTGGCTCAGCAGTATGTGTTAGTGGTCAAGGAGCATGTCCCACTATCAAACACTGTAATATCAGTGACTGTGAAAATGTTGGACTTTATATAACAGATCATGCACAGGTATTTTTTAATTTCGTGGGTTTTATTCTTTTTAAAAATTTTTTTAAAGTTTTGCTAATGCCTGTTTCTAATTAATTGTCGTAGGGAATATATGAGGATAATGAAATTTCCAATAATGCTTTAGCTGGAATTTGGGTTAAAAATCATGGAAACCCAATTATTAGACGGAATCATATCCATCATGGACGTGATGTTGGTGTGTTCACATTTGATCATGGCATGGTAAGAACATTTATGCTTAATAAAAAACCTGACTTCATATTGGTTAAACTTTTTTTATTTTTTTTTTTTAAAGATTTTTATTTTAGGGGCACCTGGGTGGCTCAGTTGGTTGAGTGTCTGTCTCTTGAGTTCAGCACAGGTCATGATCTCACAGCTCATGGGATCAAGCTGCACATCACGTTCTGTACTGAAAGCATGGAGCCTGCTTGAGATTCTCTCCCTCTCCCTCTCTTTCTGCCCCTCCTTTGTTTGTACGTACAGTACGTACACGTACCCATTCTCTCTCTCAAAATAAACGTTAAAAAAATTTAAAAGGAAATTTTAGCATCATACTTTAATATCAGTGTGCAGTAATCTGTAAATTCATGAATCTAATATGTGCATGTAGAGAAGATGGTGTCCTTTGGGAATTGATACAATCTTTGAGGGGAGTAAGATCTAGTAGTTCTCAAATGTAAGTGTGCATAAAAATCACCCAGATATAATAAATAATATAAATGGGAGTTAGGATATGCATTCTTAATAAGTACCATAAGTGAGTTGAATACAGGTTGTTTTTAGACTACACTTTTGAGAATTAATGGTTTCATCATTCCATTTTAGTGCTTTAAAAATTTTTTAACTGGCAGAATTTTAACAAGAAATACACTGATAATAAAATATCAATTCTAAAACTGATGCAGCAGTTAATTAGGTGTCTTGATGGATGATATTTTAGACTATTATGTCATTTTACACAAGTTTCTAGAGGTACAACTTTTTGCATTCTCTTAGACACTATTTTAAAATAATGGTCTTTGGTGTCTGTTCAGGTATTCTTTTCACTTAATGTCTAATTTTCATTGAGGCAGTTTTCAAGCCCTGGTATAACATTGGCAACATTTTTTGTTAAGGAGTCAGGGATGGGAGAGGAGATGATGATATGATGGCCAAATGGGGTTACAGTGAAGTTGTCTTGCTGTAGTATGGTACGAATCAAGCAACAGAGGAGTGTCGGATTCACATATACAAATCGTCAATTAGTGAAGAAAATTTTTTTACTTTCATTGTGCCTAAGACCCTAATGTAGAACTCTTTTTTAAAACTGATTTAGGGGAAAAAAAAAAAAAAACTGATTTAGGGGCGCCTGGGTGGCTCAGTTGGTTAAGCATCCAACTTCGGCTCAGGTCATGATCTCACGGTTTGTAGGTTCGAGCCCCGCCTTGGGTTCTGTGCTAATAGCTCAGAGCCTGGAACCTGTTTCAATTCTGTGTCTCCCTCTCTCTCTGCCCCTCCCCCACTCATGTTCTGTCTCTCCCTATCTCAAAAATAAATTTAAAAAAATTTGTTTAATAAATAAAACTGATCTAGACCAAGAGGGAGTACTCTTTTATGAAATTCTGATTACACCGAAAAGGTTTTAGACCATCCAGTGCATCATATTCCTGGGGTAACTGTAACCTGAGAAGAACAGTTAACTTAAAACATAGGCGTTTCAATAAGAAAACAGAGTGGGGGGGCACCTGGGTGGCTCGGTTAAGCGACCCACTTCTGCTCAAGTCATGATCTTGCAGTTTGTGAGTTCAAGCCCCGTGTTGGGCTTTGTGCTAACAGCTGAGAGCCTGGAGCCTGCTTCAGATTCTGTGTCTCCTCTCTCTGCCCCTCCCCCACTTGCATTCTGTCTCTCTCAAAAGTAAACATAAAAAAACTTTGTTTAAAAAAAGCAGAGTGGGGAAAATATAATAAGTAATAAAGAGTGGAGATGACCACTTACCCGTCTCCAGTGAAATTGACATTTCACTGCAAATTGTACCCGTTTTCCAAGGAACAGGGAAGTAGGAAGTGCAGGAATTGGGGAGTCTGGGCAAAGATATGGAGGATATCAAAACTTAAGAATCTTGAAAATCTCCCCTTCCTTAGTTAGCAGCCTCTGTTGGCTATAGTTCCTAAATGGAACTCTCATTTTGTAATGCACCATACATACTAACTAGTATCTCTCTGCTCCTGTTGCCCTTAGACTTTGCCCCAGAGTTACCAACAATTCCATTATCCTATTTTTGCATTCCTTTGGTCTCTTTGACAAGCGAGATTTGAGGAACCAAGATAATTTTAACCTGAGTAAGCTTCCTCATTTTTAAAAGACCTGTGTGATAGTCACTTAACTTCAGTTTATCACAGTAATTTACTCGTCATTGTACACCCCATACAGTTTTTTTATATACGTATTTGAGCTTACAAATTTTTTTAACTCTTTAAACAGCTCTAGGCAATGCTATAGACAGATATTTTCATTAAGGGTTAATGAAGAGATTTGTAAGGTATTACACATTTGTAAGGGAAGGATGGAAATTAAAGCATAACATCTTTGGTAGGATGTTCTTCCATTTCAGGTATTCTTTTGACTTGTCTTCATTGTTTTTGTGTTGACACCCCATGATCAGTAGGGTAACATCACTAAGTATAATCTTTTTAAAATTTGACTTTGTGTTCTATACAACTTCAAAGAACATTAGAATAAACATTTAAAACTAGTTTCTAAGCTGTCCACTTTCTTTAAATAGACATGTATTCTAAATTTTTTCCCTTTTCTTGTCTGCTGACATACTTAGAATTTAAATTTCTATATTTATAAAAATTAATCATAAACGATTTTCTCATCTTTTTATTGTAAAGAATTGTATTTGTAAAGATACCACATGCACCAGTATAAAGGACATCTTTAGGATTAAGTATGAACTCGTATGAAAAATGAGGAAATAAACACCTTATATTTCAACCTGTCTCCATTCCATCATTTATATTCTTATTTTTCTTTTGTAAGGTTTATAACATTTGCATTCCCATAGTTATTGACCTGTATTTATATTTGTTTACCTGTAGTCCTTTTACAATAGTTTGTCCATTGCTGAATTTTTTTTATTCATCCTTTGTATGGCTGAACTTTGCCATCTGGCCATTCATTATTTCTTTTTTGTCTGTTTTAAGTTTACTTATTTTTGAGAGAGACAGACACAGAGAGAATCCCAGGCAGGCTCCACACTGCCAGCATGGAGCCCAGTGCTGGGCTTGGACTCAGGAACTGTGAGATCATGACCTAAGCCATAATCAAGAGTCAGACACTTATTTTAAAAATTGTTAATTTTTAAAAGAAGGGTTTACAGGTATTGTAGCTTGAACTGTTACCACTTGAGAACACATTCCCCATTACCTTTTAACTTGGGTAAATATACACAGTTTTGAGTGCACTTTTTCCCTCCGAATTTTATAGTCATTTTTACATTTCTAGCATTCAGTGTAGCTAACAGGTCTGAGATCATTCTGGTTTTTTGTTTTTCTTTTTTTTCTGAAAAAGATTTGCTTTTCTACTTCAGAATCCTTATGTAGATTTTTGTTGTTGTTGATGCTGTGTTTTACTGCTGTTTTGTTTTACTCCATGTGTTCCTTTCTTTAGAAACTTGGCTCTCTGTGTCTGTTACTATGTTTCCATAGTTTTGTCTTTTTTTCCTGTTTTGTTTCCAGTATGGTTTTTAGCTCTAATTTTTAATATATTTTGCTTTATGGATTTTTTTCTAGCATACATAAAAGTAGAATAGTATAATGAATGAATCTCCATGTACCCATTTTCCATTTCAACAGCTATCAGTTCATGGCCAATTTTGTTTCATCTGTACTTACTCAGTCACTCTTTACTCTCTACTCTGTAGATTATTTTGAAGTAAATCTTGGACATTATCCTCTCGTCTGTAAATATTTCAGCATGTATCTTTAAAAGATGAAGATTCTTCCCTTTTTTTTTCTTTCATGTAACCCCAGTACCAGTCTCATTCCTAAAAACATTTTTCTGTCTTTGTTCACAGTTTCCCAATTATCTTTTTTTAATGTTAAATACATTCCAGAGTATTGTTTTGTGTGAAATATAATTAGAATACTGTAACAATATCAATTTGCTATAAAGTTTTTTGAGACATTTATTCTTAATTTATGAATTTGACACATGATGGATTGACAGATGACAGACCATCTATGTTGAAATTTGGCCCTCCTCCCTCTTATTTTCCTTTACTTTGGATAGTGTCCCTTAGATAGGAAGCGTAAGTTTTTTGATGATAGAAGTTTCATGTTTATTGTGTTTCTTACTCAGATTTACTCCTTATGCCTGGGATATTTCTATGAAAATAGTATGAAAATATTTCCTATGTTTAGTTCATACGACTAGATCTCATCACTTTAGTATTGTCCTGGCTCATTGGAACCTTCCGTTATTTGGGGAAAACTACATTGCTAAAGCTCTAAGGTAGCATTTGTTAAATTTGATCACCTACTCTTCCTTATGCATATTTCACAGTATTTGGCAAGTGTTCTATAAATAATAGTTTGGGTTGCAATTATTTCAGTGAACATAGCATGTTTTTTTCCTATATTTTTCTTTTTTTTTAATTTTTTTAATGTTTTATTTATTTCTGAGAGAGAGACATCTTGAGCAGGAAGGATCAGAGAGAGAGGGAGATACAGAATGCGAAACAGGCTCCAGGCTCTGAGCTGACTGTCAGTACAGAGCCCGATGTGGGGCTGGAACTCATGAACTGTGAGATCATAACCTGAACCGAAGTCGGACGCTTAACTGACTGAGCCACCCATGCGCCCCTTTTTCCTATATCTCTCATTCTTATTTTATTTGGAGAGTTTTAAGAGAAATTCTTGAATGCCTTTTACTTTGTCATATTTAATAAAGACTGCTGCACTTCCAAAAATTTTTAAATGAAAAAGTCCTTTGTCTTTTATTTTTATGTCCATTTTTAACGTTATAGAAAGTTAACTTTCAAAAATTTATAGTAATGTGTACAGCAAGGATTTAGATTTTAGATTTTGTGGCAAGAAGTTAACAAGCCCTTATTTTATATATGGAGAAGCTTGGGGTGCCTGGATGGTTCAGTCGGTTAAGCATCCCAACTCTTGATTTCAACTCGGGTCATGATCTCATGGTTCACGTGTTCAGGCCTCACATCAGGCTCTGCACTGACAGTGCGGAGCCTGCTTGGAATTCTCTCTCTGCCTCTACGCTACGTGCTCGCTCTTGCTCTCTCTCTCTCAAAATAAATAAATAAACAAAAATTTATATATGGAAGAAGCTCATAGCAATCTGGTATCTTTGACGCTTTGATGGGGACAGAATCATTTTTATGGGATCATTCAACAAAACGTCCTTGTGTATATATGTTGGAGTTTTCATGGTTTGCATCTTATAAGGTAAAGTAGAATTCTGTCTGTATCCTACTTAACATTTCTGTATTATTAGGCTATTTTACACTAAAGGCAGCTGTTAAAACAGATGCATTCCATTAAAATGTATTTTAAAGCAGAATTACATTAACTGAACCCTTTAGGCCCATAAGAGATAGGTTTCCTTGTAAAATTATAAAACTATTAAGTCAGTCAGTCATTCTTCTATCTGAATGTAATAAAATGACAGTTGTAGCAATATAGAGGCTTCTGGTTTTCAAAGCATAGGGGGAGGGTGCACCTGGAGAATGTGACTCTTGATTGTAGAGTCGTGAGTTCAAGCCCCACATTGGGAGTAGAGTTTCCTTTAAAAAAAAAAAAAGTATCAAGGAAAAAAAAATTTTTACTGCTTTCTTTTCTTGAAAGTTATCCTAAAACAAAAAAATATAGGTTACAAACTCCATCTTTGATGAAACTAAGAGACATTTTAACCTTTAATCTAAATTGCAAGACAGTAAATGACTGCATGCCTGTGACCAGGGCAATCAGTCCAGATTAGAGCAGATTATAAAACCTTATGTTCAGGAAGATAAATTGATAAACCTCATGTGAATATAAATATATTGAAGTGTTTAAAGAACTGATCACAGGGGTGCCTGGGTGGCTCAGTCGGTTGAGCGTCTGACTCTTGATTTCTGCTCAGGTCATGATCTCACAGTTCGTGGTTTCAAGCCCCACATCGGGCTCTGCACTGACTGCATGGAGCCTTAGACTGCTGTTTGCCTTAATAAACTTGTGGATCTAGTTGACCATCTTAGGGGTTGCCTGGGTGGCTTAGTGGGTTAAGCGTCCAACTCTTGGTTTTGGCTCAGGTCATGATCTCACAGTTCATGAGTTTAGACCCCACATTAGGCTTTGTGCTGATGGTGCGAAGCCCGTGTGGGTTTCTCTCTCCCTCTTCTCTCTGTCCCTCCCAAAGTCATGCGCGCACGCGCTCTGTCTTCTGTCTCTCTCTCAAAAAAATAAACTTAACAAAATAAATTGCTTTGACTATCTTAACTGTACAAAATCAAAACCTAAAGAAAACAGAGCATCCCTGCATTTGAATCATGTTTAGTCAATACATAGCAAAATATACTTGCAGTACTGTATGTTTAGTATAGTCAGTAGATGACAGTGGGCTTACTGAATCTTTATGGCAGCCCAGTAAATAACACATTTCCTTGCCACATTCTGGACAAATTAAGAAATAAAGCTATGAAGTAGCAGGAGGGGCTGAAATAGGATTTTATTACCCTTAAAAGGTTAAGTTGAAGAATACAGCTTAGAACAAGAACCAAATGGATCTGGTTATAATTGCACTCCAAAATTACAATTTTTTTTTGTTTTTTTACAAATAGTTTATTGTCAAATTGGTTTCCATATAACACCCAGTGCTCATCCCCACAAGTGCCCTCCTCCATGCCCATCTCCCCCGTCCCCTCCCACACCCATCAGTCCTCAGTTTGTTCTCAGCATTCAAGAGTCTCTCATGGTTTGCCTCTCTCCCTCTCCCCCACCATTTCCCCCCTTCTTCTCCCCAATGGTCCTCCGTTAAGTTCCTCCTAATCCTATACGTGCAAACATATGATATTTGTCCTTCTCTGCCTGACTTATTTCGCTAAGCATAACACCCTCAAGGTCTATCCATGTTGCTACACATGGCAGGATTTCATTGTTTCTCATTACCATGTAGTATTCCATGGTATAGATAAACCACATCTTCTTGATCCATTCGTCTGTTGATGGACACTTAGGCTCATTCCATGTTTTGGCTATTGTTGAGAGTGCTGCTATGAACATTGGGGTCCATGTGCTCCTATCCATCAGCACTCCTGTATCCCTTGGGTCAATTCCTAGCAGTGCTCTTGGTGAGTCATAGGGAAGTTCTATGGTTAATTTTTTGAGGAGCCTCCACACTGTTTTCCAGAGGGGCTGCACCAGGTTACATTCCCACCCACAGTGTAGGAGGGTGCCTGTTTCTCCACATCCTCGCCAGCATCTAGAGTCCCCTGATTTGCTCATTTTAGCCACTCTGACCAGCGTGAGGTGGTATCTCAGTGGAACACTTGGAGTTTTTGAAGGCAGATAGACCAGGAGGTGAAGTGCCATCTTAAAAATATCTTTTTTTTTCCTTCATATTTAGTCTTGATTGGATCTTAGAATTTAGGATCTCAGTATGACAGTAACTTTTACTCTCATTACAAAATAAGTAAAGCATGTCCATTACAGAAAACTTAAGAAATTAAGAGAAGTATAAAGGATACAAAAGTCATCTATAATACTACTCAGATAATCACACCCTCATATTTTTGTTTTATTCAACTTGTTTTTCTTGAAAGAAAATTGAGATCATACTTAATGTATACTGTCTTAAAGTATGTACTGTTCTTTTTATTTAACATGATAGCATGTAGAGTATAAACATAAGTCTTCAGAAGGATGTTAACCAATTCCCTATAATTGGGCTAAGATGAACATTATTTTATATGTCTTTTTTTATAGTCTCTGATTATGTCCTTAAGTCAGCTTTTTAGAATTTGATTTCTTGGGGCATTTTTAAATCTACAAGGATTTACTTTATTTAATACTATTGGATCTATATATTTATTGAGTAATGGTATTTATTTGCATGTACTGAATAAATCTTTCCCTATTTTTCTTTTCTGGCTTTGAGTATATCAGACTAATTAGAAAATTTGTGGTTCTCCATTTTACTAAAATACTTAAGTCTCTTTTATTTCATGTTTATCATTTGAAATTTAGTGTATATCTATGTTTTATTCTTACTCCTCAACACTTCTGATACTTAATTTGGAGGTATACACTAAAAGGTCATTTTTTTTCAATGTCATTTCTTTTTGGAAGGTAGCCTTACCTACAGTTTAATTTCTGTATTTTACAGGGTTACTTTGAAAGTTGCAACATACACAGAAACAGAATAGCAGGCTTTGAAGTAAAAGCCTATGCTAACCCCACAGTGGTTCGATGTGAAATTCATCATGGGCAGACTGGAGGAATATATGTGCATGAAAAAGGAAGAGGGCAGTTCATAGAGAATAAAATCTATGCAAACAACTTTGCAGGTGTATGGATTACCTCAAATAGTGACCCAACAATAAGGTATTTATATGTAATTATGAATGGAAGTTACTTTGTCACACTGTTTTGTGTTATAAGAAAAGTCAGGATACTTAACTTTAACTCTAAATGTTTTTCCTAGACACCTGACTGCTGTAGAATAGATTTTCCTAGTAAATGTCTATGCATCTGAATAAGCATAACTGTTGCTTTTATTTTAGAGTGTTCTGTTTGTTTTTTAGTGATCTAAGCCATACATAATATTATTTTATGAACAATTGCAAATGCTGTGATTTTTATTTTAAATTCATCAAATTGCATTATAAATGAGTACATAGAGCCATGAACTTCTCTTGGAAGCCGAATGACCTTATCTTCTCTCTTTTTGTCTAAGAGTCAGCAGATAGCATAATTCAGGAAAGTAATTACCTCAAAAATTCTTGCAGAGAGAGTCCAAGAATAACAAAAAGTGAAAACTTCAAGCCATCACTTTTCTTTAATAGTTCCTACCACTCCCTCTGGCCACAGTAAGGAAACAAACAGATCCACACTGAGAGGCATTGGCTAAGATTGTAGAACAGAACTATTGTAAATGTGATCAATGATAATGAGTTGTTTGTAATTGACAACGTTTATTTTCCACTGGCTTTATGAAAATAGATTATGGGATTTCCATCTTGTTCATATTCAGCAAATGTTTCCAGATGAGCTAAAAAACAGTTCTTCTCATTGCGTTAGCAGTTTTGAGAGGGAATTTTTAAGGATGTTATTTTCAGGATGCCTGGGTGGCTCAGTCACTTAATAGACGTCAAACTCTTGATTTTGTCTCAGGTCATGATCTCAGGGTTCATGGGATCGAACCCTACATCAGCTCTAAACTGTCAGATTGGGATTCTCTCTCTCCTGCTTTCTCTACTCCTCCCCTGTTCATGTGTACTCACACTCTCTCAAATATTTTGGGGGAAAAAATGTTATTTTGTCTCAAATACTAGATGGCTTTTCAAAACTTTAGGTGTTAGAAAGAACTACAAGGGGGGCTGCCTGGGTGGCTCAGTCGGTTGAGCATCTGACTTTGGCTCAGGTCATGATCTCACAGTTCGTGGGTTCGAGCCTTGCATCAGGCTCTGTACTGACAGCTAGCTCAGAGCCTGGAACCTACTTTAGATTCTGTCTCCCTCTCTCTCTGACCCTCTTCTGCTCACGCTCTCTCTCTCTCTCTCTCTCTTTCTCTCTCTCTCTCTCTCTCAGATATAAATAAAACATTTAAAAATTTTAAAAAAAAAGAACTACAGGGGAATTTAGAAGTCATCTAATCTGAGTCCCTAATTTTACAGATTAGGAAACTAATCTGAGGCCCATAGAAGATAAATAATTTTTATTTATTAATTGCGTGGCCATACAATTGATTATGTAAAAGAAGTAAGCTTGTAGATGTTTGAGTAGTTAATTTTTTATTATTTCTTATAAATACAGGGGTAATTCTATATTTAATGGAAATCAAGGGGGAGTTTACATCTTTGGTGATGGACGAGGCCTTATTGAAGGAAATGACATTTATGGTAAGCATGTGGTTTTGCTCTATACAGTTTTGGAGCTTGGCCTTTCTTCTTGACATTAACACAGTGGACCGCTTTGAAACTGTCCAAGTAGGATAATTGATCCAATTTCTTTAAACTCTCAGTAAAGATTATTTGTGTTATCTATTTACTTAACAGTCATTATTCACTCAACATTTACTGAGTATCCACTGTGTACCAATCTCTAGCCAGATATCAATGATGAAAATATAAATATGACCTTAGTCTCAGGAAGTGTCTCCAGTTTACTTAGATTCACTCCATTCGCTTTGGTACTAACTACAAAAGGAAAATACTTAATCCTCATTAAACCTTTTTGAGGTAGTAATTCAGCAAACCATTATTAGGTGTCTGTGTGCCAGACACTGATATGTTCCGGCTAATACTTACATAAAGCTTACTCAATTTCAGGCATTATTCTGAACACCTTACCTGTATTAAATCATATAATATTCACATCAACCCTATGAAGTAGACAGTATTAAATATCCCCACTTATTGATCAGGAAACAAAGGTATGCTGAGGTTAAATATCTTACAGTCACACAGGAAGGTAGAATTCCTGGGATTGAAATTTTGGCAGCCTGGCTTCCAAGTCTCTGCTCTTAACCATTATACGCATACTGCCTACAGTTTTTCTTTTTATACTCTTAGTTCCCTTAGTTTTTAATGTTCATGGACCATAAATATCTTTCCAAATATGGCATACTTCACAGACTCATGGTTTTCCTAAAATTGTAAAAATTTTAACTACTATGTAATGTAAAACTCTTACTGTGTTCCACTAGGCTCCTTATGTTGACATTGTAACTTTTATTTTTAAATAGGCAATGCACTAGCAGGAATTCAGATTAGGACAAACAGTTGTCCAATTGTTCGACATAACAAAATTCATGATGGCCAGCATGGTGGGATTTATGTGGTAAGTTAATGAATATAGTTGTAGAATGCCATGCATTAAAACCAAAGGAGAAGGGGTAGACCACATTTAACTTGTAGAGTATAAATTTATGACTGTCTTTAATATTTATACAATAAGACTCTTGTTCTCTCTGCCAGTATCTGAATAACTTACTTTTATAGTGTGTGTAGTGTTCTGTAAAATTCAATCAGCTGAGTGAATTTAGACATAGAAGATGTATCTTTTTATTAATTTTTTTAAAAATTCATCTATTTATTTAAGAAATCTCTGCCCCTCAGCGTGGGGCTCATGACCCTAAAAAGAGTCTCATGCTCTTGTGACTGAGCTAGCCAGATGCCCCTAGACTTGAATATTTTTCAGTATTTTTTGAAAAGCCATTTTCTTACTTGAATTTATTTTGAAATATAATTGAGCATTTTTCAAAATTGTAAAATCATATATTAGTCCTGTGTCTTCTGTTACCATGGTATCTAAAACTGTTACAACTTATTCAAGGGAGAAAATGTAGGAAATTTTAGAAAGGTCCTTGTGTAATGCTAGGTGTGACTCTACTTTTTATTTTCAGTTCTAAAAATGTCCATATCTTAAATCTTCCACTCAGAATTAAAATTTAGTAACCCTAAGACCTTATTTTGAATCATTTCGTCAGTAATAAACTTGAAATAACTATTAACTTACTAAATGAGAGAGAAGAAGTTTTTTTGCTGAAGAAAATTGAATGCTGCTACTCTATAATAGATTTATAAGTACAGAACTGCATAAATAACAGTATAGAAACTTCTGGAGCTTAAATTCATGTAGAGGCTACATAAAAACAATGTTATCATTACCTCCTTATCCAGATTAAAAAACAAAAATTGAGATTTTTTTTATCATAACTGTCTTTAAAGGGGGAATATAAACTACTTATTCTAGAATATACATATAGTAATGTTTCTAAAAGATATGTATTGTAATTTATGTATTGTAATAAATTTTATTTAGCATGAGAAAGGACAAGGCGTAATAGAAGAGAATGAAGTTTATAGTAATACTCTGGCTGGGGTCTGGGTGACAACTGGCAGCACTCCAGTACTGAGAAGAAACAGGATACATAGTGGGAAGCAGGTAAAATTATTTTGGACTTTTATATGGGAAATACATTGTTTGGTAAACACTTTCTTGTCATTTGAAAACAATATCTTTTAATTTTAGGTTGGTGTTTATTTTTATGACAATGGACACGGAGTGCTAGAGGACAATGATATCTATAATCATATGTATTCAGGGGTTCAGATAAGGTAAACGTTTTCACATTTGGCTTTCTTTCGGGAAGAAGTTGGGTGGGAGTATGTGGGGTATGTGCAACTTTCCTTGCTATTTAATGCCCAATCTTTATTCCTCCGTGTGTATTCACTCTCTTAACACATGCTTGGCTTCAATTGTCAGAATATAACTTTTCTTGAACCAGCTGAAGATAGCCAGTGGCACATACGCGCTTGCAGTAAGTGCGCATTTCCACTGTTCTGTCCTCCACTGTAGCAGTCATAGTTGCCAGTGGACTCCATAATGCTTGGAAAGTAGAAGGCTGGATAAAAAACACATACGAGTCATACCTGGTGTGTTGTAGGTGCTCAGTAGATGGGAACTTCTATTTTTACACTATTTCTGTAAAATTAATAGTTTTTACACCCCTTTGCTGTATTTTAACAGTTTTAGAAACTGTAATAGTAATTATAATTCAGCCCTTCATTTTATATATGAGGGGAGTATGCAATAATAGTCATTGAATCTAACGTCCTCTTTAGTTTGTGTATGAAGAGACTGTATAGTTGTAATATAATCTATAGTTGTGTATTCTATAGGAAATAGAATTAAGCAAAATTAAATCAGTGTCTTTACCAGTAAACTTTCTCAGAGCATCTTGGAAGGATTCCATTGTTATATTTATTCTTACTGTGATTAGTATGAATTTTTCCACTGTTACCTCATAAAACATGAATGTGAGTAGAAGCAATTTATTATTTTTTTTAAATGTTTTTTAAAATTTATTTCTGAGAGAGACAGCACAAGCAGGGGAAGGGTCAGAGAGGGAGACCCAATCTGAAGCAGACTCTAGGCTCTGAGCTGTCAGCACAGAGCCCGACAACGAGGCTCGAACCCACGAACCTGAGCTGAAGTCTTAACCAACTGAGCCACCCAGGCGCCCCTATTTTTTAATGTTATTTATTTTTGAGAGAGACAAGCATGTGAGCAGGGGAAGAGCAGAGGGGCGGGGGGGGACACAGAATCCAAAGGAGGCTCCAGGCTCCAAGTTATCAGCACAGAGCCCGATGCGGGGCTTAAGATCATGACCTGCCCTGAAGTCAGATGCTTAACCGACTGAGCCACCCAGATGCCCCAGGAGTAGAAGTAATTTAAACGGCATTATTTTCTATTGTATCCATAGGACTGGAAGCAACCCCAAAATTAGGCGCAACAAAATCTGGGGAGGACAGAATGGTGGAATTCTTGTGTATAATTCTGGTATGTTGAATCTTTTCTCTTTTTCTCAGCTAATTGTCTTTACAAATGTATTTTCCAAATAACATAACCTACGTTTTTACACTTGTAGGTCTAGGCTGTATAGAAGACAATGAAATATTTGACAATGCAATGGCTGGAGTCTGGATTAAGACAGATAGTAATCCTACACTAAGAAGAAATAAAATCCATGATGGAAGAGATGGTGGCATCTGTATATTTAATGGGGGTCGAGGTATTGTTGTTAATTTTGCATTAGTGAAAAATCCAGTTTTTCATTATTCTTCTTCCGTATCTTTAAAGATCAGTGACATCACCAATTAATATGTTATAAATGAGTGAATCTCAGTCTTTTCCTTATCAGGTCTTGAGATGGTTGAGATTAGTGCCTAGAGGTAAAGGAGGCAAATGTTTACACAATTTTTTTTTTCCTTTTGTAGCCATCTTGAGTATGCCAGTTAGGCTTTTTTAAGGTAGAATTTGTTTACATCCTCTTTCTGGACTTATTGTTTAGAATAGTGATATGATTATAATCATTGAAATCCAGTTATAGAACTAGGTGAGAAATTAATTGGGTCTGTAAATATATGAAAATGTCTGTAGTAAAGAAGTATTGCTTTGTAACTGTTTACAACTGTGTTTGTTGGAGAGTGGAATTAAGCCAATGGGTGTGCCTGGTTTTGTATACATAAAGGTCAGCTCATTTTGCATTGAGGCAAAAGTTCCACAGTCCCTGCCCCTTGCAGATGTACACTGTTCATAAAAAGAGACTAGGGGAGAATGTCAGATGCAAATTTATCACCATTCCTGAAATGTCAGTAACCCAGCACTACACATATCTTATACAGAGGGATAGCTAGTTATTACTACAACATACAAAGCAACAAAATTTACATGGACTCTGAAGGAGCTTAGAATCTAATAAGTAATATATCTGATAGGAGTATTTACAAGATATAATGAGGAAACACAATACAGTAAATAGTTTTATTCGTAAGGTGTTGAGAATAGGTTCAGATACTAAAATCACTCTTGAGCTGTGTCTTGAAAAATGAGTATTCACTGGTAAATGGGGTGGGGAGGTCATTCCAGGTATAGAAAGCATACTTACTTCAGTTTCATTTGTTCTGTACGTATTAATTGAACACTTATGTACTAACAACTGTGATACAGATGCTAAAGATGCAATGGTAAATAAAACAGTACTACATCCAGAAAGTTTATAGTCTAATGGCACATTAAAACAAAAGTCTAAAGGAAACAAAGTGGTTTAGTAAGGAAAAGAGGTACTGAAAGTTGAGCCCAGAAAAGAGGCAGGGCCCAAATCCTAAGAGACTTTATATATGGAATTCAGACTGGGTCTTAGCAAAAGCAAAGGTTACAGATAGTAACTTAGAAGTCTTTCTCCAGGGGAAAAGCAATTTAAGGTCAAGACAAATACTACAGATGGGTCAAATGTCCTCAGAAATAAAAACCATGTTTCACGTCTTCAGAGAGCAGAGAAACACTAGTACCCAACTAGTAATTCATTATACATAAGATTTAATAGGAATAATATAGCTAATACTTAGTTCTGTATACTTTTATATATATTATTTAATCCCCATTATAACCCCATATGGTAGGTCTCATTATTCCCATTTTACAGATAAGGACATTGAGACAGAGTGGGTAAGTAATTTTCCTACTCAGAGCTAGGAGGAGGTGAAATCAGTGTTTGAAGGCCAGAAATCTCATTCCTCAGCTCATTATTGATCATTATGTTATACTCCCAGAAAAGACAATAATAAATTTGATGGAGAGAAACTAAAAATGTTACAGAGGACGTGATATTAGGAAAAAAGAAGGTAGGACATTCGGGATGAGGAATAATACAAACCAAAAGCATTAGAGATAAAAATGTATAGCATATTCAAAGCATAGGTAATGTAGGAAGACAGCAGAATAGGTTGGGGGAATATTTTGAAAGGCTTTAAATGGCAACTTAATTTTAAATTTTATTCTGAAAATAGTTTTTAAGCAGAGAGGTACGTGATAGAGGTGTAGGAAACTGGGGGAAAATAACAGCAAAAGAGAGACTAGAGTAAAGGAAATTGATCAAATTGATTATAATGGCCAGAAATAATCAGGGCTTGAATGAAAACACTGGGGGTGCTCCAAAGGTTCCACAAACATTTAAAAGGAATTAATTTTAATTCAGCATTTTTAGTGAGAACTATGTGCCAGCCACTGGGGATGTGATGGTGAATGAACTGCAGGTGGTTCCTGCTACCATGGAATTTCCAGTTATTCATTAGAATGTTTACATGCCATTTTTAGTTAAGTCTTACCTTACAATCCTCACAATTACTAATAAACTTTCCTTATAGCTGAAAAATTAGTCCTGTGAATTTTATACAATGCAATTAATAAGAAACTGAAAGAATACCTAAATACCACCAAACACCTCGTAAAGCTTATATGCATTAGCCTTAATCTGAGGAAATATTTTCTTCTAGGTCTCCTTGAAGAAAATGATATTTTCAGGAATGCTCAAGCAGGTGTTCTCATCAGCACTAATAGTCATCCAGTCTTAAGGAAAAACAGAATATTTGATGGATTTGCTGCAGGTTTGTATTTTCTTTTGTTACCTGTTTCTTGCTTGTTTTCTATAAAGTGTTTGATTTTTAGTCTATCAATTCTCTTTTGCTTAATAACTAAAGGTGTAAGTTGCACTGCAAAGTGGCTGAATGCCTATCAACTAACAATTGCTTATGAGAGCACCCAGTCCAGATTCTGGATTCTTCTAAGCCGAACTTAAGAAATATCTCTTGGTGTTCGGTAGTAATTATGAAACATTAATTGGGATAGAATACAGGTTTGCAGATAAATTCAAACCCTCTGGCTTCACAAAGTAGTATGCATAATTTCAACTTTTTGCCTATGAAGATGACAATTATTTTCATCCCAAATAGCTATCCAGCTCCTTTTTTCTTATGTACAGCTAATGGCTACCTCAATATACTTCTGGGCATTTATCCTCTTCTACTTAGTTTGTAAAGTAGAAAGTTATGAACCAACTGTCAGATTCCTTCCTTTAGCAAGGAAAGTGGACTATTAACAATAGAAAACAGACTTACTCTCAAGGACTCAAACAGTTCATCTTACTCTTGAGATGTTAAGTTAATACACTTTTTGGAGTGCCTGGGTGGCTCAGTGAAGCATCTGACTTCAGCTCAGGTCATGATCTCAGTTTGTAGGTTCGAGCCCTGCATTGGGCTCTGTGCTGACAGTTCGGAGCCTGGAGTCTGCTTTGGATTCTGTGTCTCCCTCTCTCTCTCCCCTGCTCATGCTCGCTCTCCCTCTTCCTCTCAAAAATAAACACTAAAATTTTTTTTTAAAGCTAATACACTTGTTATGTAAAAGAACTAGTTTATATTTGCTTGTATTGCAGGTTTCTTTTAGGAAACCGTATAATATGTATCTACTGTAAATTTTATTTCAGGTATTGAAATTACAAATCATGCAACTGCAACACTAGAAGGCAATCAGATTTTTAACAACCGGTTTGGAGGCTTATTTTTAGCATCTGGTGTTAATGTGACAATGAAAGGTATGTTGGAGTCTGCTCTACCTGTAAATACAGAAATGGAAAAATGGCTATCAGAAGCCATTATTTGCTTCCTCTGTCAATCTACCAAGTTAACTGCAACTCAAGAACTACTTTGTAAGTTTCAGCTTATTCTCAACAGTTGGAATATCTTACACAAGGAAAATCCTAAACTCTTACTCAGTTGGTTAGCCTTCATCAAAGGTCTTAAAAAGTCACTCTGCTATTAAAATATTTTTATCCTAAGTATTTTAATGTATATTTTTACGTTGTCTGTCCTCTAGAATTTTATTTTTTCTTTTATTACAGATAACAAAATAATGAACAATCAAGACGCCATAGAAAAGGCTGTTAGTAGAGGCCAATGTTTATATAAAATATCAAGTTATACCAGCTATCCCATGCATGATTTCTACAGGTATATTTCTAAATTATTTGTGAGTCTCAGAAAGGGGGAGATTGTCAATTCTCTTTTTCTGTGTGTGGGGTGTGTGATTTTTCTAAACTGGCAAGGCCTAACATTTTTAGATTTCTTTCTCTTTAGAGGAAATTGGTATTTGCCAGTGGAAAGAGAACATAACTGAGAACTTTATATAGATTTGTACACATTGAGTTCTGTGATCAGTCTACTTAAGGATTCTGTGTTGGGGACCATTAATATGAAAAAAAAAACACCGCAGTTAACTTTCTACCACTAGAAAGGTGGAACACAACGCTTATATTGTTTGCCTAGGAGTTTTAAAGTAAAGCTGTCATTAAGTGTTCCATACACCCTAGTCACTGAGTGGTTTTTTTACTCCCTTCTCCCCCAACTTGATTCAATACAGACTTTAATTGGTTAGATTGCAAATCAGCTGTTCTCAGAAGATACAGATCAAAAGATTCACTTATTACATTGAAGTCCTTTTGCAGAAATTTTGGGATGGGGCCACAAAAATTTTGGTTTGGGTCGTTCTCTTTTCTTATAAGCCAAAGGGTCATAGGGTAAAATGCTGTATTTTGAGGAAATATCATTTTCAAGAAAAATAATATAAGCTTTTGCTTTGTAGATGTCACACTTGTAACACCACAGATCGAAATGCCATATGTGTGAACTGCATTAAGAAGTGCCATCAGGGACATGATGTAGAATTTATTAGACATGATAGGTATGTAGCACACTTGCTTGCTCTATTACCCACTTATTTTCCCCCTCACTTTCCTAATTTTTGGGTTTTCATTTTGCTTTAGGTTTTTCTGTGACTGTGGTGCTGGAACACTGTCTAATCCTTGTACATTAGCTGGTGAGCCTACACATGATACAGATACACTATATGACTCTGCTCCACCTATAGAATCTAATACATTGCAGCACAACTGAATTCCTTCCCTAAAGAAAAAGTCCTGCCATTCTAACATCATAACTTAAAACATTTTTTTTTTGGAAGAAGATTTAAAATATTTGCCCATGCTACAGGAAGAGACTGTATTAAAAATGGATACACGAGGTCAGTTGACACTATGAAGCTCAAGCTACCAAAAAGAAAGTGGCAATATATTGACTCAGGATCTCAAAGCTGGGTGTTTTAGCATTACTGTGTAAAGACTTTTGAAGGGACAGAAGTGAAGAAATAAGCTGCAATTTTGTACAGATACCAACTTCTGAAAAAAAGCTGGTGTTTTTACAACTAGCATTGAATGCAGTCCAATTTGCAGTAGTACTCTTCAATAGACAAGCAGCTTTGTTGCTGCCTTTATGGACATGGGTACCAATTGCTTTTGTAATATGGTAAAAATGTGAGCTAGCACTTCTGCGTTTCTTTTGATTTTTTTTAACATGTATTCAGATTGAGAAATATGATTTTAATGCTTTAATCTCATGTAGTTTGTTTTTAATTTCAAGCAAATCTTCTTGTACTTGAATGTGCCCTGTTTTGTTAGCACACCTAGACTTGCTGTAACTGTACTCATGTCCCAGTATGTACGTTCTTTCTATGAAAGAGAAAACACTAATCTTAAATTATATCCAGCAATGTTTCTGGTATCCTTTAAGAAAAGTTAAGACTATTATTTCCTTCCCTTCCCTGTGCAGCATTCAAAATCACCCCTAGAAAAAGTGAGTGTTTTAATGAGACTTCCTAGGAAGGGATGCACTGTAAAACAAAAGTATTCTTGTAACTCAGTTTTGTGAAAGGTAAAAACTACTATGTTTTAAAGTACACTTTAGAAAGTCTCTTCAAAACAGTCCTGTATTTGAACTCTGTTCATAGTTTTTTTTTGAACAGTTTAGACAAACTGCTGGAAATTAAACACAATTTCCTGCATTAAGCTGAGACAAGTATATATACAGCCCTATACAGTTTCATAGCTCCCTCCCCCCATTTATGTGTATTGGTGACAGTGGGTATAAACAGCCTGAAAGTGTATGCATGTACCATAACATCTAGACTTAATATATTGTGGAGTATTCAATAACCATTATGTAGAAGGTAGATAAGAATTAAAAGGGTTTAATTTCCTAGAAAGAAAATGGAAAAATGGTCATTTTTAAAAAATAAAGTTTATTAGATCATAATGTTGTCTGAATTTACCACCTTTGTCAAAAAGTCAACTCAAAGCTTCCAATGTAGTCTATAATTCCTTAATCAAAGTCAGCAACTTAGGGACAGCTTCAGCATCTATAGTCGACCTTTCACTAGCCAGGCAAACTTCCCTTAAAATTAAAAAAAAAAAAAAATTTTAGTTCATATCAACCATCCCCCCTTACGGTTTTATTAAGGTCAGGTGCGTGGCAAAATTATATACAAATATAATTACCGAAATAATCGCAGTGATTGAGTCATCTTCTCAAATTCTCTTGCTTTTCTGTGTCCCTTTTGAATGATCTCCTCTGGAAGATTAGCAAGTTTTGCTGCATTAAAGCCGTAGCTTTTAGGACAAGCTCCTTTAATGAATTTATAGAGGAAAGTAATAGTCTCCTGGCTGGGATCCTCACATTCGTTTTCTACCATGCATGCCTAAAAAAGGAAAAGATGTTATATTCGTGTACTAGTAATGGAAGTATCTGGCTTGATTCCCTCAAAAAAATCTTAACTTTCTGCATAAACAATTCACACATACCATGTGTCCCAGGCGCACTGCAACATTTTGAGAATAATCTTCTACTAATGAATGGTAATGGGTAGAAAACAGCGTACGACACTTTATGTTCTCAGCAAGTTCTTTAACAACTGCATTTGCTATTGCTGTTCCATCAAATGTTGCAGTACCTCTCCCTATGAAAGTAAAATATGAATAAGTTATGTATCTGCCTAATACCAAAAAGGATATACCTTACAGTGGCAAAGAAAAAAAACAAGCTAGAACAGTAACGTCAATTACTGCATCCAAATAATAGGCCCTGTTTAGCTAAATAAGTCTCGCTTAGCAGCCCTGAAAGTGGGGCGCCTTTCTTTAAAGCATACTACACTGTTCAGGTACCACTGATCTTCAGTGTCCTGTTGGTTTCTCCTTAAATTTTCTCATTGTTCCCAAATTGTAACAACTATATGTTAATAGGATTAAGAGATCTAAGAGCCTTGGTAATAATCTGAGAACTTTTTCACATTATCTCTTTAATCTCTTACCCCCAACTATGATCTGTGGCACAAAGGTGAGTGCATTCAAATTTGTTTAAAGAAAAATAGCCTTCAAATGGAGATCGTAATGTCTTACCTAATTCATCCACAAGCACAAGAGAATGTAATGTTGCATGTGTAAGTATACTGGCAGTTTCACTCAGTTCAACAAAAAATGTACTTTCACCTAAAAAACACACACAGGAGATCTTTAAGAATCCTAAAACAGTACATTCACCTTTAAGGTTCCTTATTCTTTGACTCCATCATGAGCTACCCAGGTTAAATCTTATTAAAAGATTATGCAATTCTTGAAACAAGATTTCAAATGTTTGAAAGCATTCCACAAGAAAAACAGCAAATTTAAATGACCATGCAAATTTTAAGGCATATATATTTTCTCATTTAAAAGACAGAAATACAAATGAATTGCCAAATAATAAAGCCTTAGGTGGGAAAGAAAACTCACCTGACATTATTCTGTCTGAGGCACCAAGTCTAGTAAATACTCTATCAATTGGTGTGAGCCTACACACTTCAGCAGGTACATAACAACCCGTCTGGGCCATTACAGCTAATAGGCCAGCCTGTGAATGGAGGAAAAGGTCTTTTCTAATTGGAATTAAGAACACAGACATACAGATTTATGTATATCCAGAAGACAGTAAGCCAAGCTAATAAACCTACATCTTTAAAAAGAACAATTATGTAGGAGTTAGGCACTCTTAGAAGGTAAAGAGAAGCCTAGAAAAGGCAAAAGGGTTAGAGCCTAACTGGCCTGAAAACCTCAGCCTATGAGGTTTGAACCCACTGCATCCCTTAACCCTGGCTAGCTACACAGTAGAATCACCTGGGAGCTTTTTTAAATTCCGGACCAAATCAATTTGGGAGGATGGAACCGTCCTGTATTTTGTCAAAGCTCACCCCATTTTCTTTTTTTTTAAGATCACCTGGAGAGCTTCACAGAAAAACAAAAAATGGGGCTCAAAATCAGCGGACTAGAACTGTACTGCCTCTTGCTAGTTAGCAAATTTAGGAAAGCAGGGGGATGAGCAAACATGGTCAGTCAAGGGCCCAATGTCTTAGGTCTTTTTTCCTTTTTCCTTTACAACCCTTTACAAAATGTAAATCATGTTTAGCTCAGGGGCTGGCCAACCCCTCATATATTTATTGTCTTCCCTAAAAGCAGTTTCCAACAGTTACTCGAGGTCATGTATTTTATTTGCTTTCCTATCTGAACCAGTCAGTCATGGTTCTTTTATAAGGATCCCCACAAATGAGTATGATCCAAGGACAAACCTACAACATTTACATTCATTATGAATACACCTACCTTCAGAGGAAATAAATCCAATCAAGTCAAAGTTTATAAAGACATCATAACTTGACATCTCCCTTGCCTTTTTATTGTTTTTCTGGCCTTTTAAGATATATGCTCCCTGTACATCAGACAGACATTTGATGAGGTGAATACAATTCCGTTTTATGCTACAAGTGTTTTTCCTTTGTTTCCTAATATGCTAGTGACTGAACTCTATTATTCATGAGCTATCTGGAAAAGGGCCTAAATATGTAATATATTCCTAAAGCGTACAAACAACTTTGTTACAAAACCTTAAAGGTTTACCTGTCTCATGAGTGTCGACTTGCCCCCCATATTAGGTCCAGTAACAAGCACACAATAAGCTTTGCCACTTTCCTCCTCCTCTTCCTCACAGCCTATTAGAATGTCATTAGGAATAAAGTCATCTCCAAAAAAAGTCTTCGTAATGCAGGGATGACGTGATCCTCTAAGGTCCAAGAAAGGGGGTGTGTCTTCATCTGGAAACAGAATTACTGGACGACACATAGGGCCATCACCTCCTCGGCTGTAGTTAGCCAGGCACAATAAGACATCTGTGAGGGTAAAAGTGAGGCTTCATCAGACTCTGGGTCTCCCTCTCTGCCCCTCCCCAGCCCACACCCTGGGTCTCTCAAAAGTCAACGTTAAAAAAGATTTGTTTTAAACAAAACTACTTTTTCAGTGGAGGGTAGACACAGGGGTTTTTTCTCCCTTAATAGGCACTCTAAAATATGTAAAATGCTTTGTTAATGCATTCAGTTACCTAAAATGAGTCATCAGCCTAAATGTTTTAAGTGTCTTCTATTATAGCATTTGTAATGAAATGAGAACTTTCGTTTTCAGCCTCTAATCCCTCTCCCAACCACCTCAAAAAGATTTAGTCCTCCAGACCAGAGGAATGCCAAGGGGAAGCGAAGAGCTACAACAGGGAAATGCTATCCTGGACCTCTTTTACTTGATCTAATCCCGGAGCTAATACTTCTTAGAAGCAGAATGTTCTCACAAAAGGCACACTGATGTAAAACTTTTTTTTTTTCTCTCTAAATGTTTACTTTGAGAGAGAGAGAGAGACTGCAAATGGGGGAGGGGCAGAGAGAGAGGGGGACACAAAATCCGAAGCAGGCTCCAGGCTTTGAGCGGTCAGCAGAGCCCGATGCGGGGCTCAAACCCATGAACCATGAGATCATGACCTAAGCCGATGTTGGACGCTTAACCAAATGAGCCACTCATGCGCCCCGGATCCATCTAAAACAATCTTAAGAGGAAAATAAATTAACCAATTTTGAACACCTGCACTGAGGGAAGATTTTTAAATTACCCATTGAACTATTTGAAGCTGTATTGGTTTAAGGATTAAATGTGGCACAGGGGCACCTGGGAGGCTCAGTCGGTTGAGCATCCAATTCTTGACTTTGGCTCAGGTTGCAATCCCAGGGTGGTGGGATCCAGCCCCAGGACGTGGAGCCTGGTTGGGATTCTCATTC